CAGGGGCGGGGGGGCACGCACAGTGCGGCACCGGCTTGCTCACGAGGAGATCGTTTTCTCTGAGCTAGTCCAAAATGACCTCCTTGCAAGCAAGCCACACACCTGTTCACACGGGTGGGCCAGTTAAATGAGCATGGTGGGCTGGATTCGGCCCACAGGCCTTAGTTTGAGGACCCATGTCCTAGAGTACCTACTCACCTTTATGCAGAATGACTTCTGCACACCGGAACAATGAGGACCCGGGGATTGTGATGGCATGCTAGACGTTTCCCTTATTTCTGCCACGGAACTTAGTTTTGCTCGCCCTACATGTGGGAACCAGCTCTGGCCTCATTCTCCTGTATGCAGAATAAGAACCCATACAGCGGACTATTGAATGAAGTGTGAATATCTCAGTCATATGAGTCCCTCTGATCCATTTTTTTCAATTGGATTTACCCAATTTGTACCTCCCAAAACTTTAACTGAGCCAAGCACAGACCTGTCTGGTGAAATGTGCAGTTTCGCAAACTTTTCAATGTAGACTTTCTGTACAAAAATGCACTTTCCCAAAAGGTGCATATTAAGGAATAGTGTGCACCAAACATGTATATTTGGAATAATGCACAAACCTACATTACAGCAATTGTAAGGTACTTGAATGAAGTGGATACGTTCCCAAAGTACAAAAAATGTGTGAACTAAGGAAACCTGTATCCACATAAATTAGATTTCCATACAGATTTCTTTAAAAAAAAAAATTGAAACTTCCACATTTATGTGGAAATAGGAGGAATGAGCATGGCCTTCAAATATCTGACCATCTTGGCAAAATAAATAAACAAATAAATAATCAATAGAGCTGTCCATCTTTTGCATTTTGTGTTGTTTTCCTGGTAAGAAAAAGATTGAGGAAGAAATAGGAAGACACAGGAGAGTTACAAATGGAAGGTATTATCACTTGAAACATACCACTTCCTCCCCAGTAAAATGCCGCTCATGGCACAGCGACTGCAGATTAAAAGCCTCTTTTAGGAGCATCCTTCCTAAACTTGACTAAAAGCCTAAGCTAATTTGCTCTGCTGACTCACTTGTGACTCCATCTCCATTAATAATTTAGCTGCAACATCATGGAAGGAGCGGGAGAAGCACTCATAAATCTAGGAGTTTTGGTTGGATTCCTGCTGAAAACCATTAATAAACCATGTTTGGTCAGAGTTAGGACTGCTCTGCACCTACCAGAGAGCTCCTTCATCTTGACATGTTGGAAAAGATGGCCGTAAATATGTCATCCATGATCAAATGCTGGCTTTGCAGGCTGACTTGCAAAAGAGGGCTCCCACAATGCCTGGATTTAAATCACTTTCATCCAATTAACCTCCAATTAAACTATCAGCATAAATCCAAGTTCTCTGGTGTAAATGATTTCTTGAACAGGCTGTTTAAAAATGTCACTAATGCTAAACATCACTTGACAGCCCTAATTCCACTCACTTACAGCAAAACACAGGCAGGTTTCGTTTGTGCCCGGATCCAGCCCTGGAAACGATTTCCAGGGTTGGGGCAGCTCTGGAATCCCAAGCAGTAAAGCCATGAACGCTCCCCTGGGCAGAGACATGGTGCTTTTCTATCACTTCCAGCTGCACATGCCCAAGAATGAGGAGGAAGAGGACATGGGACCCCAGCAGCCAGCCCCACACACACACACACACACACACACACAGCATGAGTCATATCTAATTTTGTAGTTCCATGTTCTCACCAGAAGCTGGGCAATTACCCTAGAATTCTTGCCTGGATGAGCAAATCGCGGGCATTTTGGGCAAAACCTTTAGTCCTATTAGGAAACGTTCCATAGAAAGTCTCCCAACCACGATGGTCTGAATTTGTCTCTCCTCCAACTTCAAAATCCTGCATCTCACTCCTAGGCACATGGGGAGCCAGTGTGGTAGAGGTGGTGGAATGATCTTCCCCAACCTGGTGCAACCTGGAGTAAGGGGAGTTGTAGTCCCACACATCTGGTGAACACCATGTTGGAGAAGGACATACTCAAGGGATGAGCTGAGGAGAGAGTTGGGCTGAAATCTCCCTGCGGCCTCAGACTTACTGGATGGCCCCAGTGGCACTTTCTGGGCCAAGGTGCATAACAAGCCATTGCAGCTCGTTAATCACCCTGAGATCACGTGGATCACGCCATGAGTTCTTTGCCTAACTTACACTGCAAGGATGATGGGTGGGCAATTGGGCAGGAGGGCTGTTGACGCCACCCTGAGTGGCTTAGAAGAAGGGTGAGCTGTAGATATCCTTTCTAGCAATGTAATGAGAGTTCCATGCCACTTACCATATTTAGACATTATTTCTCACGGGTTTTAGTGGAATAATGGCTATGATTGGGTCCAAACTTAGTCGTACTTTGGGTAGACCCATTGCAATCAATGGGACATAACATACCCAGGAACTTAAGTCCTGTTGATTGTAGTGGATCTGCTCATACTGTGACAAAGTCTGGTTTGTCATTGTCTTCATCATCAAGCGCAATTCTGCTCATTGCACAGCACTTACTTCCACATAAGTGTGCCCAGGACTGAAATGAGAATGCCGTGCTTCTGCACAGTAAGTGCAAAGGTGGGGTTGAAGGGGACGTTCCTTTGCATGATACTTTGAGGAGAACCAAGGACTGGCCTGTGCTTCGAACCCGGGTCTCAAAGGAGGGAGGTCCTTTGCCAGTATGCACAGCGATTTCCGTGAGCTGAGCATGCCCTCCCTTCTCATGCCTTGCAATGCTCTGGGTCAAGAAGATGCCCCTACAGGGATTTCCAGTATTCAGAGCAGGCTGTTTCCATCAGCTGAGTGCATCTGGGCTGGCTTGGATGTTAAATTTCCTTTTCCAAAGCGTGCAACCAGAGTGGCATGTTGCCTGTCATGTGAACTATCAATTTCCTGCTAGGCAGAGTGCAAAATGCATCATGTTCAGCCTATAATTTCTCCTAATTGCATCTGTGTTGAAAGGGAGGGGAGCGCACTCTCCCCATACATGTGGCCAAAGATGTCTTGGCAGCAGTGCCGGGTGATCTCCCCAAATCCATCAACTTTGCTGACTTGACCCGCAGTTCCCTCACTCCGGAGGGAGAGCAGGAATCAGCCTCTCCCTTTTCAGTGGCTTTCTTTGCTTCCCTCTTTTATCTCCTGGACATTTGGGGGATGGGGACTGGGATTAGAGCTGTGGATTGTGGGAAGCAGAAAGGTAGACAATAACCTAACAGCATAATCCCATATATATCTACACATAGGATACTTCCATTGACTTAAAGGAAGCTTACTCCCACATTAGGGTTATAGGATTGCAGCCCAATTTTTATCAAGATTCCCAGAAAATAAAATGGTCATTTTGCACAGATCTTTCCCTATTTTCACAGAAATAATTTCAGGGGGCAGAAATGATGCAACCATTGGATACAATTGCAGCTGATTCCCCCAAGAATGGGCACTGCTCCCGTGTGTTCCCCGATATGCAAACACTGAAAGGATGGATCTTTTCTGATGTGCAACGAGGGGGCAAGATTTCCTGCTTAATTTTTACATACATACTAAGGTTGTATTCAGACACAAGAGCATGGCCAGTGAAAAGAAGAAGGTGGCAACCCAAGGTCAACAAGCCAGAATTTGTATGAGCTGCGTCCGCATGAATGGTCGAGAGTTCATCTCTCAGTGTTTATTTCAGTAGCTCTCCGTCTTGGAGGGATTCCCAACCTTTTGGAATTCTGAAGGGGTGTCCTGGACGATCTCAAAAGCTGGCTGCCATGGGACACTTGCCCAGGCATGAAATGGCTACCCTGGCAGGCATGGCCGGTCACAAAACACTCATTTCTCAGAAGGCAAAGTGGTGTGATTAAAGGTAACTTACCCAAAAACCTAAGTCCAAGGCAGATGCAGGGGGCTGAGCTTCAGAACTAAACACCCTCTTCTGAATCCAAACACAGACAGTGCTGGATGGCAGCACTTGGTTTTTTTACGGGCGGCCTCCAGTAAAAATAAAAATTACTAAGAACAACAACAATAAATGTCAAAACTTCTTAAGAAATAGAAATCAGGAGGGTCAAGGCATGTTTCCATGGGCAGGGCGAGCACCCAGACCTACTGAATCCTAGGTTACTTTCTAAACTCCCCACAGGTGAGAGCATTGAAGTGAAGATGCTGAAAGGTAAAGTGAGGAGGAAACTCAGGTGCGAATGCGATATGTGTACGCCATTCGTGTCTGCACCCACTGCCCCGCTAGGGATGGACCGGTCAGACGTCTCTGCTAAGCCAAGACCAGGCTGTGGCCCATCAACATTCAAGGTGTGCAAACAGAGCAAATTCAGATCTACCCCGATATCAAGAATAGACGGACCTACCCAGACCAGAAGGGACTGGCGCTTATTCTGTACATAATTCTACAGAGGAAAGTAGGTCACCCGGTGATTCCTAGGGCTTCTTTCTGAGACATCACGGAGTTAAAAGGAGCAAAATATGTTATGTGGCACACAGGCATATATACACTCTCTTTCCTCAAGTAAACTGGCATGATAGTTTTTCTTTCCTTCAGCATCACTGGCGTCTGCCCATCCTGCCCTCTCTTTAAATCGATGACATTAAACGAGAACCCAAGGAGGCATGCAGCTTAGAAAATCACCCCCCACCACGAGCTCTGCCTGAACGCAGGGCTGTTTTCCACTCGTGTGCCGCAGTACTACTTGCACACGTGCCTTTACTCTCGGGCCTCATGTGCACGTGGCATTGCAAGCACCAGACCCATGTCAGGAGCCGAACCAAAGAATTCCTTGTTAATTCTCCTACCGCAGGGGAGAGAGAACAATATATTGTTTAGAGTGAGATGCTTCAGTGAAATATGCAAATTAGGCAGCACTGTAGCGAGGGGATTGTTTTTGGTGACCTAACACATGATTATTGTTATTTCGTTATCATGGAGGACTCATCCTGCAAATGGTAAGAAGGTGATTTTCCTTGCCTCCGCCCCACTCCTAGAGATGGTACTTTCGTAACAGTTCAGATTGCCACGGGTGTTTCCTTTCTGGAAACCTGTCTGGGATTTTGATTTTGAGGAAATCCTGGATGCATTTTTCCAATTCTTCCTCAATGGAGACCTTTTCCTTCACTGCTTTTTTTTTGCTAGAGTTGGATTCCCTAGAGCCAGACGTCAATGTTCGCAGCAGGTCACTTTTCCTCCGGATTTCTGACTGCTGCAGTAGCTGCACTGGCCCTTTCTTGACGAGTCGATCGAGAGTCTGTATATTGGACTGCCGGGTCACGGGGCCACAGATGACGGTCTCTTGAGGGGAGCTGGCCTCCGACTGGCTGTCGCAGCTGGACGTGGACAGTTCGTTGCAGGACGTGCCGCTCTCGCCTTCCTTGTCGCCTTTCCCGTTCTTGCAGCAGCAGTCACAGTGTGATGAAGACCATCTTGAAGGCTCACCTGGAAGGACAGAAGAAGGGCACAGCAAGGTTACCTTTGCAGAGGTCTCCCAAAATCAGGGAGACAGAGAAGGACAGCTTCCGTTCACACAGCTAGCAGGGGCGGGTGGTGACTCCTATGCCCGTGGGGCCTCCTTAGGTACTGCAGCTTTTATTTTGAGCTTTATGGAAGCTATCCGTGATGGTGAACATATTTGGGAGGTAGCATTCAGCACCATGGATGGCATGCATAAAACTCACAGTAGAAGCCGCATTAGATAAGAAACCCTACTGAAAAAGGGATCACCAGTCCCTCCTGATGCCACCTAAAAGGGGTAATATGCCACCAAGATCACCTGTTATGGGTGAGGATTGCGCTTGCTCAATACTGGAAGAGTGAGGAGCTACCCACTGAGGAACTGATTTTAAAAAAGATTTTGGACTGTGCAGAAATGGACAGATTGATTCTATTATTGAAGGAGAAAGAAGATACTGACTTCTGCCAAACTTGGGACCTTTTTTACGACTGGCTGGAGAAATGGGACTTGGCTTAGATTTAAAGATGTCTGTAAATTTTTATAAATCGATTTGAATATGATTATAGAATGTTAAAAAGATATGTTATAGGGGGCTGACCCAGTACGTCTGATGTATTTGATGATTGATCATTTTTTAGTTTTTTAGTTTAAAATCTTAATAAAAAATGTGCAAAAAAAAAAAAAGATCATCCATTATGGGCAGCATCCGACATGGCCCTGCATCTCCATCCAATTCTGTTATGTCCCCACCAAGACAGTTCCTTGAATGACCTCTTCCTCCAATTCTGTTGCACAATTGGACCCACTGCTTTCCCAACGGGAGTCCAATGCCTCCTAGAGCATCCCCAGACAATCAGAAAGGTCCATTTCCAGATTGGGCAGGTCTGTGGAACTCCCTTATCTGAGCTCCCTTGGCCTGCACAATTTCAGAAACAAGCATTTCCATTCGTTCCTGTTTCCTCCCTAATTCTCTGTTGAGCAGAACAGAATCAGCAGAGACACAACAGAATCAGGGGCTCAGTGGAATCAGCAGAGCAACCCATGGGGTCCCGCCCGATATTGTGGGCAAAAGATCCATGGTCTAAATGAACACTGAACAGCATCACAGTGGACTAGCCACGCAGGTGGGTACAGCTCCAGGGCGTTTTTCAGTGCAGGTGCGCTGATTTATACGAGCAGAGCCTGCTTGCGGTGGCAAATGAAGGGGGAGGTAATGTGGCTTTCAGGTTGTACTACTGTATGTGGCAATTTTACCACCGATGATACGGAAATCGATATCACTGTGCTGGACTGTGACTCCGGTTTCTCCTAGGAGGCACGGTCATGATAAGCTCTGGCACTTCAAAATTTGCTGCTCTGCCGCTAGTACTGAGGCTCTGCTGGAAAAAAAAATTACCAGCCTTTGCAGTTTACAGTCAGCCAGCTGGCAACCCTCTGGCATTTAAAAACAAAACCAAAAAGCAAAAATACAATGCTTATGACTATGGTCCTCTGACCAGTTACACGAATTTAGATTCTGCAGCAATCAATAGGACTTAAGTGGGCATAAGTGGTTGCAGTACTGAAGACTAAATATGCCTTAATTGATTTCTTGATTCATCTTCTTTAAATGCTTAGTTGAAGTTCTGCCCTGAGCAATAGTCTGTGACTAGGAGAGAGAACTTGAACAGATTAACAACAGAAAAAACACTGCAAAACACCCCCTTTCCTTATGAATGAAATGATGTTCTGATGGTGGATTTTAAATGCTACCTGTCATTTAAGGAGCCTCTGCTCATCACTTCCAACCTGAAGAAACAGTAGCATTCATTCAGAAAAAGCTAAAGATCATTCCATTTGCTGAGGAGTTAGAGCCACTTTTTCATGTTTTCTGCAACACGTCACCCACGTGTGAGAAAGTGATGCAAACCAGGTAAAGCAATAGCCAGGTTGCCTTTCTACATAAAAGCCCATTTGCGGCCTGCTGTCAGAACACTGGAACAGAAGAAAAGCCATTCTGGATCAGACCCAAGGTCCATCTAGGCCAGCAATCTGTACAAGTGGTGGCAAACCAGCTGCCCACTGGCTCCCTCAAGCAGGATGGGAGCAAGACCTCCCCCGTCCAAGCTCCTCAGCAACTGGTGCAGGCAGGCAGGCCGGCCACCTCTGGCAACGGAGGGGGCACACAGCCAGCAAGGCTAGCCGCCACTCATCGCTTCCTCCTCATGACTCTGTCTGATTCCCTTTTAAAGCCACCTGGATTGGCAGCCAAATTCTGGTGTGACCAAAAGGACAGGATTCAGAATGAGGTCGGGCTCATAAGAGCACACTGTGGCCATCAGGGCCAAGAACTGGACCTAGCCCCACTCTGACCCATGACCTACCATCCTTTTTCTTGCTCCTGTGTCAATGAAAGGCTAATATTCCTTGCTAAGGGGAAATTGCAGTGCTGAATGTTAGGACGTTATCACGGCAAGGTCTGCTACTCTTCACACTGTGTGCATGCCATCTGAGAACCCACAATGCACATGCACGCAACGCATTGTGTTCTGCCTTTGTATTTCCAGTAAGGAGGATCCAGGAACAAGGCTGGTTGGATGTGCAAAAACTTCACTTTATTTCCAAACTCTTCTTTCCCTTCATTTCCTCCTCCTGGCCAGGACTCTGTTGCTGCCCTCTCCAGATTATCCTTTTTACAACTCAAACAAAGAAGTGCCTATGACTGTCAAAACAGAACAAGGGCCTTCATTAGTCTGTCTTTAAATAATGAGCTCATTCCAAGTGAGCAAGTTATCATTTAAAAACACACAGGCACGCACACAAATGATTGGTAAACCCTCAAAGGGATATAAAGTGATTATCGACAATGAACTGAATAAAATCCTTTATATTACTATTTCGGTTTTCAGCTCTGAGGAGATACACCATGTTTCAGAATAGGACCCAATTAAGCTGCGGAGCAAGGTGTGGGATTTCTAAGTTACAGTGGCAATGGGGATGCACAGCCCACACTAGAACCATCTAAACACATCAGAAGAATGTTATCAGTGTCATTTCCAGACCATTAATTCACAAAGATGAGTTGGACATATTTGTGTCTAGAAGAAACTGGGTGCGATTTCAAAGAACAGAAGCTGAATAAAGAACAGTGCTGGAACTGAGAACAGCAATCCAGACACCCTTCAGTGAAGAACATGTCCTTTTTCTTTCTCCCTCAGTTGCAACTTTTCCTGGCAAAGGCAGCCTGCATGCTGCACACGAAACTAGTTCCAAAACATGAATGACAAGGATTTGGGCACCTTAACAGAAAAAGACTTTAGAAAGCACTTAAGACTGAGCCCGAAGATTATCTTGGTTGGTGTTTTTCTCCCACTTAAGACCTCACACCTTCTCTAGGTGCAAAATGTATATGCAGAGAAGGGTGCCTGCCCCACTTGTGTGAGTACAGCTTCATGTACCTGCTACGTGCACCCCAACCTTTGCCCGTGGAGCTGAACTCCTCTCTTCCACACCAGGCTGGCACATGCTGCAGTAATTGTAGCTTTTCGCATGTGGTTTTACATATTTTAGGAGTGCTTTATACTCATATTAAAGTTTTGTACTAGTTTCCACTTGAATAATCACATAAGAGTTTCAGCACTAAGAAGCTTTTCTAATGTAATATTTTAGGATGCTTTTTACACACCAGAAGGTAGGTGCAGATGACTGAATGCACATTTAGCAATAGTTTTGATATACAATTTCTTTTCATGGTTTTACTTTAGCAAGGTACAGTTGTGGCTTCAGTGGACAATATTAATCAACTCAGCTTCTTACATTTTAGGAGTGTTATAAAATGGCAATATTTTATGGTTCCATTTTATTTGTGATCCCTGACAAAAACAAAGACAAAAAAAGCATTTCTCTGAAACATGGACAAAATGAAAGTTTGTCTTTAGGTGCAAGATCATTTTCTTTTGCTTTCATTCAGTTACACATCAGGGTCTTCCCTCTTGTTGAATTCTACACACAAAGCCTGTCAGAAAACACACCAACCATGGTGATTTTTTTTTACCACTGTTGATCTGCTCTGACATCCAAACAGCCCAGTTGTGGTATTTCATCATGGTGAGGTTGGTCTTTAGAAACCATGATAAAAAAAACAATGATTTGTTCTGTTTTCTCCATGCCATCATGGCTTCTTTCATTGTCCGCTGTACAACCACCACAGAGTCCTCTGGAAAGAGCGGCAACTGCATGAGCTGCTCTAGCCATCCAGCCTCTATGTGTGGACCAGTGAAAAGAGGCAGAAGGTGATGTACCTTAGGGCTGAATGGCAGGCACAGTGGCTGAGGGGAATAAATGCTAACAGTAGGAGAGGCACCAGCTGGGTCTATGACTTTGCATGCTGTGCAAAAGAATTCAGTCCATGCTGGAAAGAGTGTCCACCCTTCCCAAAGCCAGTGACTTCTCCTGCTGACTGTATCCTCACTGTTACCTGCTGTTTGTGAGCACCAAAGAAACCCAGGGAGAATCTGCAGGCCAGAACGTTTACATTTATATCCCCCAATTTCCTCCAAGAAGCAAAAGCCATATACATGCTTCTCCTCCCTTTTGTATCCTCACCCTGTGAATAAGGTTAGACTGAAGATTATTGATTGGCCCAAAGTCATTAAGTGGAGTGGAGACTTGCACACAGATTTCCCAAGCCCTTGCACAATGCTCTAACCACTACACCATACTGTTTCCACATCCCTGGCATAATTGACCCACACAGAAACATTGGGCTCTAATCTGCCAGTGCAGCAAACCCATTCCCAACTTCTTCATGCAGAAGTTGTACACCTAAAAAGGGTTTTAACCAAAGACATGTCATTTCATTTAGCCTATTTTAAAGGAGCCAGATAAGAAGCTGGGTTACTTCAGGAATGAAAAGACCCCCATCTTGTGTTGTAGAAAGAAAGAATCCTCCAAGGTATCCAGGGCAGTTTTCTTCTTTTCAGACATGGTGCTACACTGCCTTCTG